GAAAAACCAGGAGCTACCAAGGCTCATGAGATTAGGAACTACATGTTCTAAACTCCTTCAATCTCTGGCACTATTTTTATCTCATTCCCTCCCCAAATTGGGATGGGAATGGGCAAGAAGACTTCCGCCTTCAAAGGGAAAAATAGGGCCAAAGAGAAGAAAGGATACACCAAGTGTTCCCTAGGGTAGAAGAGTTAAGAGTTCCTGCCTGGAATGCTCTTGACCAGTGCTTCCTACTCCAAATCTCTAAAGGTCTTTCCTAATCACACCCAATTATAATGACCCCAGTCTCTTCACTACTCTAACCAGTTTTTTTGTTTGTTGTTTTTGTTTTTTTTACCTTCCTTGTGGATGTGTTAACTCAAGCTGTGAGATGATAAGCTTTGAAAGGTAGACCTTGGATGTCCTCCATCCTGTTTTCCTATCAGACCCAGCACATAGTAAGCATACATGGTCAGGAAACTACCTCTGTGTTCCTGGGCAATAGGTAGGTCTGTGATGGAAAATAACCAAGCCAGAACAAGCAGAGGTCAGTTGATCAACACCAAGTTTTCATAACTTCGGTGTGCAGAGATCTGTGGGGAGACCCAGAGGAAGAAGCCAGTAAGTCCTGCCCTTAGAGACCCTCTGGTCTAGTGGGGATAACTGAACCACACACATAGGGAAAAAAAATAGTGTGGCAAGTATTGTGAGAAAATTCAAATGCAAAGGACAAACGGCAAAGAAGGGGGACCATGAAACATACTGGAAAACAACCACATTACGGAGATCAGAAAAAAAGAAAGACCCTCCCTCCCCACTTTCCCTGGAAACAGCTGAAAAGTTCACTCTCAGTATAAAGAAAGTCAAAAAATGCATGCTTCCCCTCTTCGATGGTCCCCTCCTGCCACATCATTTCATTCAGTAGCAAACACGTCACAGCTCAGAAGAACAGGATGCTGTACTATTCAGTGAATTGAATTAAAGCAGAGACACAATGACGACTCTAAGAATCAGGGTGGGGATTCCAACCCCTGGGTCTTTTGCCCTCCACTCAAACTGATGGAGGGATCAAAGGCAGTCCGTTATTGACTTTCTATACTTCTACAGCTCCAGCGCTAGTACACAGGGATCAAGAAATGCCTTGACAATGATAGTGGCCATTTCTTAAAAAGTAGGTAACACCAATTGCCAGGCAGTCCTAAAGTCATTCTCACTTGTTTTGGGAATACATTGTTTACATTCATAATTATATCTACCTTAGCTGATAACTACAGACAACAGAAAACAAACTCTGATTTACCTGAATGCCCACAGAATTACAAGGGAAAAGCATGATGGGAAGGCAGACCGCAAGTAGACATTTGCTGGTGGATCAAGCCGCTTCCTGATTCACAAAGTTCATTTTTGCATATATGTTCTACGATCTTGTATCTGACCCATTTTTTCAAATCTAAATTCTGAATTTCACCTGTCTGCCTGCCCACCCTCTAATAGCTGACAAAGTTAGAAGCAGGGAAACGGCCAGTGAAGAGCCAAGGCCTGTTAATGTACTCATCCTATCCCTGGATAACCACCGAGTTGAATATTAGGCCTTACAAATCGTTAAGCAATCAATGTCCCAGTTCTGGATCTCATATTCTTTTTTTTTTTTTTGAGACAGGGTCTCTTGCTCTGTCGTCAGGCTGGAGTGCAGTGGCGTGATATTGGCTTACTGCAACTTCTGCCCATGGGTTCAAGCGATTCTCCTGCCTCAGCCTCCCAATAGCTGGGATTGCAGGCACGAGCCAACATGCTCATTTAATTTTTGTATTTCTAGTAGAGACGGGGTTTCACCATGTTGGCCAGGATGGTCTTGATCTCTTGACCTTGTGATCCGCCTGCCTTGGCCTCCCAAAG